ATTCCCCCCTTTATGGATCTTAAAGTAGCATACATGGTTTTCCCAGTTGGACTCCCATTGTAGCTTTGACCAGGCACATACTTGCTTTGCAGCATCATGTGTCCTTGGCTCATGCCTCAGGATGTACCATGGATATGTTTCTGATATATATGTGAATAATGCATTAATACAAGTCCAAAACACTTTATACCAAACTGCAGATTTGGATGACAAATACAAGAAGGAAAAGCATTGCAAAGTATAAAGAAGACACTAAGGTGATGTAATTCAGAGAAGGGAACCTGAGTTTAGCTAACTGATAGCTCTGTCATAAAATCTCAAGCAAAAATCTCACCAGCACTTTTCAGTCACAGTGATTTGGAGGTGGGATTATGTGAGATCATTGAAGTTGTATAAGGATTAAGCTCTTTGTTCTATGTTAGCAGTATTATTGTTGCTGCGGCTCTTCTTAACTCATTAATTCCACAAAATTGGAACTCCGAGCAGCTTACAAAAGTTAAAACAAATACAGTTAATATTTTCAAAGATATAAGTAAAACACTACAAAAAGTTATTGTTAAAATATAAATGAACTATCTGTAAAATCCAAAACATTTAAAACAAATCCATAAAAGACAAAGAGGGGTTACAGTCTACCCTCCATATCCATTGATTTTACTCCCAAAGATTGAACCATTCATGGCTTGAGATACACACACACACACACACACACACACACATTCCAAGCAAACAGTGATGTTGCCATTTTATATAAGGATCAAAACTTTATTACACCATTGAACAATAGGACATGAGCATCCATGGATTTTGGTATGGAGCAGGTGTCCTAGAACCAAACTCCAGTAGATACCAAGAGCCTGCTGTGATTTGTTAAATATCTCTGTACTTTCATTAGAGAAATTTATTTTCCTCCTTGTCCCTTTTGTCCCAGTTATTGTTCTTGTTATTATTTAGGTGGAAAGAAGGCAGATGGAGTCTGACACATTACAGAAAAAGCAGAGAAATGGTCTAAGACCACTTTGGGGTAGTAAGTGGTAAATCTGTAGGGGTAGGCCATCTTACAATACCAGCAGCCCTTCTCTGGTACCTTATGAGGCAGTACCAACACACTTAAGCAGGACAGAGACAGCAAAGACCCAGCAGCCATGCAACAGGGCATGACACTGAGGCTGCAGCCACACTTTGACACTGCTTTAACTGCCATGGATCAATGCTATGGAGTTCTGGGATTTGTAAGGATTCCATAGGATGGAGCCATCGCAGTTAAAGTGGTGTCAAACTGCATTAATTCTGCAGTGTGGCAGCAGCAGCCTTAGAGTATGAATGAAGGATGAAAGTAACAGAAGTTCTCATTCAGGAGGGGAAATATTGGGCCATAAGAAGGAAGTTTTCAATGTCACCCTAAAGCACCAGACACTTTAAGAGACAGCAAGGGGGCCATCAGGGAGATTCCACCAGCTTCACTTCTGATAATAAGTTCAGCATAATTTTGTCACACTCCTAAGATGCATCACCAAATTCTATCAGTTGGTTTGTTAGTACAAGAAAAAACGCAACAACCTTTCTTCAAGTATGCTGCCATTTTCTTATCAATATCATATACCTTGTTAAACTGTAATTGTCTTAATTGATTGATGCTCTGGGAACAGTGCCAGAGGGAAAGCAGCATGAAATGAATTGCCACAACTGAGCAATTGACAATAGTTTAAAAAAAAAAAAAAAAGTAACATTTATAGATGCCTAACACAAAAACACCTGGAGTTACACATCTGAATTTAGGCTGGGGTTATGCAAATTTTATGCAGAAGTGTAAAAATGTTTAAAAGTTATATGTGTGCTATGTGCTTTCAAGTCATTTCCAACTTATGCTGACACTAAGGCAAACCTATCATGGGGTTTTCTTGGCAAGATGTATACAGAGGAGGTTTACAATTGCCTTTCCCCTGAGGCTGAGAGAGTATGACTTGCCCAAGGTCATCCAGTGGCTTTTATGGCTGAGTAGGGCTGGAAACCTGGTCTCCAGAGTTGTAGTCCAACACTCATACCACTATGCTATGATCCCCTGTTGACTTGCATTAGGGAAACCCATTTCCCTAATGCAAATCAACAGGGGATCTATATTCCTAACTCTTGAGCCAGACTCAGGGTCTGAACTGGAATGGAAAAGAATGAGCCCAGATCAACAGAGACTGAATCAGGCCAGTCGGGTGCCAGATTTAACTGGGGACCCACAAATAGTCAATTATGACCAGTGGAATTCCTGTTCAGGCATTCAGGCTAAATACCTGAACAGGGTAGGCCAAATGTGCCAAACATACACTGAACTGTTTCTGGCTGCACACTGTTCATTTCAGACCTTGCTGCAAGGTCAGAATGGGTCTGTGTGTTTGAACATGAAGCAGAACTCCCTAATGTAAGGTAAGAGATATTGCTTTGACGGGGCTTGAGGGAAATGACAGCCTGTGCATTGTTGAAGAACCAATGTTACCACCTGGACTTGTGAACCTGGCTGTCATTTCCCTCAAGCCCCGTCAAAGCAATATCTCTTACCTTACATTAGCAGTATTTGTAACATAGGGTGAAGGGAGGGGGGCTTCTAATCCCAAAAGCCCACCTCCTGATTCAACAAAGCCAGCCCTAGCCTTTTTGCTTCCTGAGGTGTTGTTGTTGTGTGCCTTCAAGCCACTTCTGACTTCTGACGACCCTAAGGGGAACCTCCCATGGGGGTTTCTGGAGCTGAGAGTGTGTGACCTGCCCAAGATCACCCAGTGGGTGTCCATAGTCTAGCAGGGAATCAAACCCTGTTGGCCAGAGGTTCAGACCACTACACCATGCTGGCCTGAACTGTATGTAAGACAAAATGGCTTCCTCCTCCTCCTATTCTACCTGTAGAAACTGTGAAGACTGACAGCTGAATGTCAGGGAGCCTTTCACACCACACAATTTAAGCATTACAATTCCACTTTAACTACTATGATTCACAGTTCAGGAAGGGGCATGTAGAATTATCAGTCAGAGCTCTAGTGCCCACCCAAACTCCAAACCCCAGGTTTCCACAGAATAGGGCCATCGCAGTGAAAGTGGAAAACAACTGCACTGTGAAAGGACCCCGACACTGGAAATGGGATAGCAAATGCCACTCCACCTTTAGGCCACAAGACAACTTAGGGGCTGCAAGAAAAGCTTTGTGGCATACAGAGCTTTGGTCCTCAATGGCCTCTTCACTTTGGCTAATGGTAGGACCATCCACTCTTCCAGATAAGGCGCCCCCAAAGGTGGTTGTCATCCCAAAAGGCAGCCTTCTTTCTTTTGTGTTTGTGTGTGTGTGGTATGTTCACGTTGTCTGTCGACTAATGTGCACCCCATGAATTTCATAAGGTTTTCTTAGGCAAGGAATGAATACTCAGAGGTGGCTTTGCTGATTCCTTCCCCTGAAATAGAACCTACAGCACTTGAACAATGTTGCCAAGAAAGCCCCTATGGCAAGCCTTACAGTCACCATAAGTAAAAAATGACTGGAGGCACACAACAACAACAAACCCTGGTGTTCCTTGGCGGTCACCCATCCAAGTGCTAGCCCAAGGCTGACCCTGCTTGCAAGGTCAGACAGGGTCAGGTGCCTTGAGGGTATTTAGTAGGTGCCAAACACTGGGTTCCCTCCAGTGTGAGGGGAGAAAGTC